GGCAATTTTGAGTTGCTACGAAGATGACAACCCAATATATCCTTCAAAGATCTATCCAAAGCTTCAAAGGAATGGTTGTGAATCATGGGTGCCTCGTCCCATATAATCAATGATGTTTTTTTAACAATTCAACAACATCACTTTCGGGGTTATAGAACAAAACGAATCCTTGGTAATATTTAAAGGGATTATAAACTCTGCTGTCCTACCTCCTGTCAATAATAATGAAGCAATACCACGTGAATCAACATTTAACACGATTTCACCCTCCGATCTTAAAGCAGCGGATAATGTTTTCCAGAGAAATGTTTTCCGTGTACCTCCGTAACCGTAAACAAAAAAGACGCCTCCTTTCTTTTGTTTAACATTTGTGATAATATCGTCGAAAACACCTATTTGTTCAACTATTAATGAACCAAGTAGCTGATAAAACTCTTGCAATAGAGTCGTGTTGTCAAAATCTAGCTCATCGGTAATCAATCGATTATTTGAAGAAGATACAGACTCATGATCAGGGTAAGGCATTCCATCAAAATCTTTGAGGCTTGAATTGTTCTGGAGTAAAAAAATTTCAATCTCATAAAGTGTCAAGTTCATAACTTGATCCTCAGAAAGCGATAAACCTGTAGAAATTTGAATGTTAAGTTTTTAGATATAACTATATAAAATTAAAACTTACTGATAATAATAAGGTTAATAACATTTTGTTAAATATATAAAAATATATAACAAGTTTTATTGAATAAATATAATATATTATGTAAGAACTATTAAGTAAAACCGTAATTTAAATAATGAAAAATAACATGTTACCTGGTGTCTTTAATCTTAGTTGTTGATTGTAGAGAATTCCATCTGATAAGTATTGCCCAGTTTTTTATCCCAGACAAAGCACGGTCTAGACAAACTATTAGATTTCAGCATAGTTGCAAATAGATAACACAAATAATATCCAGAACCTGAATGACTTACTTCCTTAATTGCATCATTATATTCCCTATCATCTTCCAAAAGTCCAAGAGCATAACACGCCTCTCTAAAAGTAGCACACACATGTCCATTAACCATGCGGATGTATGCAAAACATTTCGGACCTTTGACTTTATTTAAAAGGATTTTAGAAAAATATGCTTCTCCAAGATTAGGAGAGACAGTGTGAATTCGACCGATAGAAAATCCTTTTTTTTGGGCTTCCAGTGACGATCCTTCAATTTCCAAACAAATTTAGTAGGAAATTCAACATAAGAAAGTTTTCGTGCTTCTTTATTATGTTCATTACACTCCATCCAAGCTAAGAACATCGAAGAAGAGACTGTTTATTGAGGACATCTTTAATATCATCGTCAACACCGTATACAACATTTTGTTGTCCGGGAAGATGAAAAGTAAGCCTCACAACAGAAGGAGTCCGAAAATGAACGTCAAATACGAATATACGCCACGAAGCTTCACATGTAGAAAAATATCTAAAATCATAGTAGTTTTTTATTTCATTAACTGGATCATCATTATCATCTGCGTTGTTGCTTTGTACAACCTCAATAGTAGCCCGATCAGGACCCTTGTTAATATATTTTAACAAATATTTGATAGAAGCACTGTGATTGCACCACTCAACATTAATGTGAACTTGGTATCTTTTCAAAAGGAGTTTGTGATATGGAACCACACTTCTATTGTTTAACTTAACACCAGACTTTTCAACAAAAGATCCATCATTACGTCTTCTATATATTGGATAACCATTTTCATCAACCGAAGTATGCTCTGTGAATGTCTTTGGGAAGTTTTTTGAACACTTGTTATCAATCATGCATGGGCATTTAGGATTATCACTACCACAAGGACCATGCATCATGAACTCGCTGACAAGTGTATACAATTCTGGATAATCGTCTTTGTTTGGAATTAAAGCATAAATAACTCGATCAATATGTTCAACGGCTGGGAGCTTTTAATCAGAGTGCATGAATAGACACATATGGGCATGACGTAGGCCGTGCTTTTGAAACTCCACCGTATAAACAACTGAAAATTTATTTACATAGATACATATTATAAGATATTGAAATAAATAAAAAACATATTACTAAAATATATAAAAACACTTTAAAAATGCATTATTAATATAAATTACCTGCTTGGACCAAACCCAAAAACGAATTTTTCTTCAAGTCTTTAATCAATGAATCTAGCTTCATTTTGAACAACCTAGATACAATATCGGGTCTGTCTTCGGGTTTGAGGTTTGTGTTAGCAATAAACCTTTGTATTTCGGGCCACTTTGGATTGCATGTTACAGTTATGAAATAATCAGGGTATCCAAACCACTTACAAAGTGATATGACATCTAAATAGTTCTGCATCATGTAGCGTGCACCACCAGTAAAATAAGAAGGCAATATCACACGTTGTCCGATATTGGAAATATCTGTATTTCCATTGTTTTTCACACTGCGTAAAGTTTCATAGGATTCACATCGAAGAACTTTTTGTTTGTTGCGTATGTAATATATCTCTCACTTTCAATCATCGTATAAGCATCAACCAGAAATTGTTGAAAAAGCCTTCTTGAATTCAGAATTAATTAGAAAATATTAACTGTCTTGAATTATATAAGCAAAGAATTCTCTCATTGTACAGTTACGTCTTTTGGTATCTGTCGAACACGTAACACCTCTATAACGAATGTCAACTCGGTATCCATCATCTCTATAAGGAAAGAGCAGTGGGTACTGAAGAGCAAGGTAAGCAAGATGTAATTCATTTATATGTTGTAGACTGCCTGATTTCGTTGTTACGATGATATCTCTATCATCAACAAAAATACCAATGTCACTAACAATTAAAGCAGCAACCTCAGAAGCGGTAGGTAGGTTATATGTCCTTCATCTTGTTGCTTTCTTCCTATAAGACGTAACTTTAGATCTATATTAGGACCTGCATTAAAACAATCTCTTGCCATTCTATAACACTTAATCAACTCATTTGTTAAATCCAACATAAACTTCTCAAATCTTATGATTTCGATATCAAGTGAATGAGGAGTTGATGTGCACCCGTCTTTTTGTGTACTGTTAAAAATGACGATTATAGGTAATATTTAGTAAGTAAATAAGTATATTGAAAAAAATGGGTTATAAAAAACAAACACGAATAAATACCTAAAAGTGTGTTGTCTATTTGAAATTTTGTTTTCAGTATCATATATGTATAGTTGAGAGGACTTTGGTCTTGATCCATCTATAGGTAGAAGACTACCCATACAATGGTAATTTTGACCGCTAAGTCTGGAAATATAGGGACCTTTTCCTTTGTTAATGGAATAATCAACTTTTCCACCCATAGACATAAATGAAAACATCGAATTGAAAAGACGAATGTTGTTCAAAACATATTTCCTTTTGGGATGAACAGAACGATATAGATTTTGATAATCTTCAGGTGCTTCTTTTAATTATGGAAGCTAGATCTTTCCGTTACCATAACACATTGAAAATGATGTTTTGTTTCCATCTTTATTGCCTTTAAGGGCTTCATTTTGCCATAATTTTGCATGACACCTCGCACACGCAAAACTCTGATCACCACGGTCTATATAATCTGTTTAAAAAAAAGTTGATTAAAGATATAAATACATTATTTTTGAAATGAGTCATAGTTTTTATATAAAAATTGGGGTTACCTTTCGAGACACCCGAAATTAATTGGAGATGATTATGTTGATAGTTTAAGTCTGCATCTGATGTTAAGTCAAATATGGGGATATGAGATATATTTGGAATCTTCCTTTTTTATTTTTTTGTTTGTCAAATATAAATTGATAGAAGAATCTCTAGTGATTGTTGATGAAGACGTGGCTTTCATGTTATCAGACAATATGGAATATTGTTTATTTCCTGAGAAAGTATCAATGTTAGTATTGAATTTTGAAATAAAAGGAATAAATTATGATTTAAATTATATAGAGTACATACATATTTATTTATGTAGATTATATAGTAGGAAAACTAATTTGAAAAGAAATTAGATGTACCATTAGAAATGTTAGATAACAGAGTTCTTGTCGTATAATTGGAAATAGATTCGAAACATTGTTGAGCAGAATCCATATACGCTATGAAAAAAAATATTAGTTATTACAAAAAAAAAACAAACATAGTAAACAAAAAATATATTGTTACACAATAAATTATACATTACATGGATGAAAGATAAATTATATAATATATATAATATTGACGTTTGGTGTGGTGCAAGTTTGGTGTGGTGCAAGTCTGAATTGATCTTCAATTATCCAAATAATCTTTTCTTTGTTTTCTTTTGTCTTTATAGATGTTTGTGTTGACATTTGATTTTTACCGACAATATAATTAAACTTGCTTGATGCCAGTGTTTGACTTTTGCTACTATTATTAGTAAGCAATGGGAAAAATATATAAGAAAAAAGTTATAATATACCTCAAAATATTTGTAAGGTAACCTATATATGAAGAAAAAAATATGCATAATTGTATCATTGAAAATGAAATGTAACAATTTTTTTTTAAAATGAATAAAAAAGAAGCAATGTTGATCATGACGACCATTACGTGTGAAATAGTAAGAGTACTATATAAAAAAATATGCATTGTTTATGTGGAAAAAGGTTTAGCCAAAGAAACTACTCAACAAACTTAATTGTAATATGTAAAAACACTAATATGGTTGCAAATTATTTTAAAATGTGTGATAGAAAAAGATATACCGTTTGGCGTGGTGGTCCTATCATTAGATCTTCCATTATCCAAATATAAATTTCTAAGTTTTCATTTGTAATGGACTTGTAATATTAAAAGTTGAAGTAGATTCAAAACTTGTGTGGTGATATGCACCTGAAATATTTGGATTTGTATTGTTGTGGAAAAATTTGGTCCTAAATGGTTAATTTATTAACATCCTTAGATTGGTGAAGTCATAAAAGGTGCAACAAATGAATCAAAATCAATAACTAAACTATAAATTTACATGCAGTAGAATCAAAAATTTCAAAGTCTTCTAAATATCCAAAAGCTAATCCTTGAATGTGACAACCGTCAAAATTCGAGTTAGTTCTAGATTTGATAAACTTAGTTGCACATGTAGGCACGACACATACTAGACTTAGTAACTAGAAGCTAAGTTAAAACCTACTTGAAACTTGGAAACAATTAGAATCAATGTATAGTGTACATAGATTTCACATTGATCTGTGAATTCTACAACTACTTTACTATGGTGAATATCCATATTCGGGTCACTCTTTGACTCGAACACCTTTTCATGAATCATATACACACATCATGCACTTGACCTAGTAGTAGAAATTAGGTCCGAGTCTCGTAGGAACTTAAGTTAAAGTTGAAAACTATGACTAGTATACTTGATTCCTCAATTTCGTTTAGATCTCGGAATCACTACATAGAATGCCAATAAACCGATAAAAATAAATTACAAACATTATTTCTAACTTGAA